AAAAAAAAAAAAAAAAAAAAGAATAGAAAACTGGAAATGGCATGGTTATCGAAAACAGGAAGGGAAGTGTTCACTTACTCCATGAGTTTGATGCTGAAGGTGACAATTTAGAGATAAAAAAGGTGGTTACTGAAGGAACTTGAAGAGCGAGCGCTGGTTGTGACGAAGAGAGTGATAGAGCAAAGGATGCTTGATGTACAGGTTCTACCTCTGGTAAGCGTTAAGTGAGATACCATCTTGAAAAGAAGTAAAATTTGATAGGCAAAGTAAAAACAAAAATTGGATAGGTAGGGCTTTCAATCTGTTCGTCTTCCAGAACTGCTGTGCGTCACGATCGGCGAATGCTATTTATGAGAAACGACCACTCGGGCAGTCCCCAGTGAGGAAACTTATGTACAGTGAACAAACGGTAGCTATCTGCTGTAGGTATGTAACTCGGGGTCGAAACATTTGACACAGCTACGCTCCTCCTGGTAATAAGAAAGTTTTTAGCTAACTTTGAAGAAGCAGAAAGCCAATAAGTTTACCTGTCAATTCACCAACTGCCTGAAATTTCTTCACTGGATGCACCACCGTCCGCTTTGATCGTCGTTTTCAGCACTGAGTCCGATGCTTCACTACCTTTTGGGTGGGGTCTTTTAAGGTTGTGCTGACCTGGAGAGGTCATGCCAACATGAGTAAAAAATGCTACCAATGACCACCACAGCGCCATTGGTGACCTGATGAGGTTTGAGTCAATAATCTGTGAAAAATGTATCACTTGGAGCTCAAGTCCTACTAATACTTTCATCGATCTGGCTTTCCTTCTTCCTCCTCACTCCCGCTCCTCCTCTTCCTCTCCTTCTCATCGGCCTTCCTCTTCTCTCCCTCCCCCTCTCCTATAGAGCACAGAGGAACTAAGAAGATTCCGACTTGAAATCAGACTTATTTAAACCTTTCACATTTTTTAGCTCCTTGCAAATTTTCAAGGTCTTTTTTTTGGATTTTTAAAAAAAGAGTCGAAAATCTTGATTTACACTTATAGCACCACACCGACATTTTAAATTTCTTTCCGGTGAAGCTCAACACTACTACGGTAGTCTATTTATTTTGTCGTAGGAATCTTTGGTCTGTGAAAATTTATTAGTACCATTTGTCGGCTATAAATACAAGACTGCAACAATGCACAAATCTCAAAATGTCCTACACATTTCACATTCCGCTGGGAGCATCATTCATACCAAAAGAGGTAGCGATCCCCCACTCACAGAGCTTTTGATTGCTCTCTCTTTCAAGATTTCTGAAATTTTGACAAACCGCTTTCCTCCCTAATATGCCAATAATTCAGCAAGTACCAAACATCGAGTCGCCAATGGCTGCTCGTCCTTTCTCACCTACGATTTCAAAACAAAAATCCGGGAGGGGTACTATTTGTACCAAGACGCAGGCCAGCAAATCACAAAGGACAATGTCCAGCAAAAAAAAAAAATCATAAGAATCGTGATTTTATCACAAATCACTGAAATCACAAATAACAATAGTGGATAACAAAAAAGCTGGATATCGCTGCATCATCGAGCAGTGTCCGGTGGTGTCTGAGGGTCATTGCTTTCGTTATGCTGCTGATCCGTAGATGTTTCCGTACCTTCTTTGCGTCCCAGTTCTCCCTCGGATGGCTCGGACATTACCCAGGACTGTTCAACTGTTTGTTGCACCCTCTTCTCGTATTCACGCCTGTTCTCCTGGAATAACTGTGCGGCTAACGCATTTGCTGGGCTGTTTGGGTTCGGCTCATCGAGAAGTGACTGGATCGAAGTAAGAATTGCGGACACATCGTAGGTTGGTGACCAACGGCTCTGCAATATGTCCAGACAGATACCACCATCGGCGTAAATATTCGGATGGAACATTTTTGAGACAAATTTGACGATCGGTGGACGATTCGGATAATCCTCGGAGAACTGGAGCGACAGTTTAAACGTCCCATCTTCGAACGGTGTACCTTGTGGGCCGAAAATTACCGCCTCCCAGACGAGCACATCATTCTCGCTTGGCGCACCGCTTACGCCAACTGGTGGATCGTCCTGGAGCTTTTTGAAGTCACGCATCAGGCGTCTTCGTGCTGGAGTCGTCATATTTCCTCGATCGCTAAATTTCAAAAAATTTTGAGAAAATGGCATATTTTATAAAAGTTTATCTCCCCCGCCCCCTAAAACACTCATCCCAGCACGAAGTGTGCCATTCTTGCCCCCACCTCTTTGCTAACGTCTCAGAATCGATAGAAACGCCTCTTACCTCAGTTTGGTTTATGAGGCACACAAGACATCCATTCACAAATCGACTCTTCCTATCCCTCCCACTTTCCTCACCGCCCATTATCCATGTAAAGATTGAAAAAGAAAAATACGCGTTACAAAAGACGGCCGATTAGAAAACTGGCAAAAGGAGCACTGCTTTTTTTTAACCATCTGCATTCTCATTTACGAACGGTAATATCGTAAAGGGTGACAAGTCCTGCTGTAAGTATACGCGCTTCAATAATTTCCCAGGAAAAATTTCGACTTGAGCTTTTGCTTCTGATTCAAAAATCACTAGTATAGGCGCGCCTCATTAAAACAGAAGTCACCCGCAAAACCACCACGGAACCTCGATAGATCAAAGGATTACCGCAAAAGAATCCAAAAATAAAAAACAACCACTAGCGGTTTGTCAGGTGAAACAAACTGGTATGGATACAATTGTGTGCGATTTATATACGCAGTTTATTACAGACAATCGCAAAATACAGCAGCAGCTGCAATGATATATTACGTGATACGCAAATGAGTTACACGTGTTATTTCGTAAAGCAGAAAAACTGTAAAACCAATGGCGTATTAACTAGAACGGGTCCATCAAGAAGCGAAAATTAAAGGATGTGATTTTAATTTTATTTAAAAAAAAAA